TCTCAGCAAACTCAATTCATACAAGAAATTGGGTATCATCATAGACCTTATTGTTGAAAACACTTGGTTGAATTTAAAAGAATGTACCTTATTCACACTAATCAAATAAGTCCAATATATAATACCAGCGATCAATTGTCAAGTAAACCTGATTCAAAATATCTAACGACCAGATAAATAATTCAGTAAAAGTAAGTTTTCGAGAAAGCATAATGATAATTAAAATTGTCAAAGAAGAAAACCAAATTCATAATACCAATGACCTGAATTAATATATTAAATTGAATTTATTCATAACAGTAATCCAGCTTATAAAAAATTTTTTAATGGTCTCAGCAAACTCAATTCATACAAGAAATTGCATATCATCATAGACCTTATTGTTGAAAACATATGGTTGAATTTAATAGAATGTACCTTATTCACACTAATCAAATAAGCCTAATATATAATACCAGTGATCAATTGTCAAGTAAACCCACCTTATTCGTAATATCCAAAGACTTCTTAAATAAGCCTAATATTAATATCAGCAATCAATTGTCAAGTAAACCTGATTCAAAATATCTAACTACCTAGATCTAGATGAATGATTTGATAAAAGTAAGTTTTCGAGAAAGCATAACGATAATTAAAATTGTCAAAGAAGCAAACCAAATTCATAATACCAATGATCTGAATTAATTTATTAGATTCATAATAGTAACCCAGCTCATAAAAAATTTTTACCGGTCTCATCAAACTCAATTTATACTTGAAATTGGGTATCATCATAGACCTTATCAATAAAAGCACTTGGTTGAATTTAATCAAATGCACCTAATTTGTAATATCCAAAGACTTCTCAAATAAGCCTAATATTAATACTAGCGATTAATTGTGAAGTAAACCCACCTTATTCGTAATACCCAAAGACTTCTCAAATAAGCCTAATATTAATACTAGCGATCAATTGTCAAGTAAACCCACCTTATTCGTAATACCCAAAGACTTCTCAAATAAGCCTAATATTAATACTAGCGATCAATTGTCAAGTAAACCCACCTTATTCGTAATACCCAAAGACTTCTCAAATAAGCCTAATATTAATACCAGCGATCAAACCTGATTCAAGATATCTAACGACTATATAAATAATTCAGTAAAAGTAAGTTTTCAAGAAAGCATAACGATAATTAAAATTGTCAAAGAAGCAAACTAAATTTATAATACCAATGTCCTGAATTAATATATTAAATTGAATTTGAGTCATAACAGCAATCCAGCTCGTAGAATACTTCAACAGTCTTAGAAACTCAATTCACACAAGAAATGGGTATAATAATAAACACTAATGTTGAAAGCACTTGGTCAAATTTAATATAAAGTATCAAGGCAATTTAAGTAAGCTCTAATATTTAAAAACACGTATATATAAATTTTTAACTTTAAAGTATATATTGATATTGATATGAAAAATAAGGTTTCATATAGACGTACATACGTTTAAAGTTTTAACTTTCGGGATGATAATCATTGTGCATACATAAAAATTCCAGATTAACCATCGGATTGCCGGATCAATCCGAATTTCGGATTCATTTTGGTTTATTTCGGTTCAATTCTGGATTAACCGTCGGATTGGCCCCAGATTGTATCCGGATCAATCCGAAATTCGGATTCAAATCAGATTCGGATCAATCACGGATTAATCAAGATTTTTAATCCGATTTGGAACACTAATATCGATATTGGTTATCTGGTCATTATCGATTAATAATTGCTACTGCTGCACTATAAATAGAGGTCATTTAAAGCCTTACAAATCGATTAGCACCTTCATACATACTGAGCTTTAGATCATCTTTGTAAATAATAAACATTATATTGATCATACCAAAATCAATAACTTTTATCGAATCGGCAGAATAATCATTTGGTTAATTTTTCACAAGGTGTTCTAGAAATAATGATAACAGCTGTAAATGCTCCGGACACCTAAGGTGTATGGTTTTCGCTTGGATTGTAACCCAAATAAAGAAAATACTTGCTTATCATTATCAATTTCGGCATATCCTTATAAGTAAATAATAAGCAAGCGTTCGATCACAATCTAGTGACTCTTATCCAGATATTCAGTATAGTTTATTCTCGTGACAAGCAGCTTTCTTAAATTTATCCTCAAAATTCAATATATAAAAAAATTAGATTAGAGTATTTGATTCACTGTTAAAGTGAATCGGTTTTTAAATTGATAAATTTTTGTGAAGAAAATATTACTGAACGATTGGAGATGAAAAATGCTACTTAATAGTGAAATAATAAAGTAAACTCTAATATTTAAAAAATATCCTTGAAATTTAAGGAATTAATATAAAGAATTAAAATAATAGAAAGTTGCATGATATATAGCTTTTGTTCTTTTTTGACATTTAATAATTTGCCGCTCCTGCAGAAATTATGAAAAATTGCGAATATTATTAAATTAAATTTCCCGCATGAGCAGAAAGTTAATTAATTTATAAAAATATTTTTTATTTATTTATTCAAAATTCCTATTATTTGTTAAGGAATATTTGTTTAAGATATTGTTTTGTTTTTTTTTCTTTATATAACATGTTGAAGGAATGAATTTAATCAAAAAAAATGTTTGTACAATCTTCCGATCTATTAGAATCTCAAGATATCTCAGATTCAAGCTTATCTATAGTAGATACTTCTCATCCGAGAAAAAAGAGATGTCGTTCTATTAAAAAAATAGCTTTGCGCAGTTATGTCCATCATTTTTTTAAAAAAAAAACTTCACTAGAGACCGTGCAATGTAAAATCTGTATAGCGAACTCAAACGAAGCTTATAATTATATTACACATAAGAGTACTACTAACCTGCGCAATCATTTAAAAGAGCATGAAATTTATCAGCATAACTATAAAAATTTTCTTAATGAAAATAATGAAGTGAGTTAAGAAAAAGATAATGGTTATGTTGCAAATCAAATATTGTGATTAAATAATTGAGTCTTGTAATTTTGTACTAATCGATTTTTTCCAAGAATCAAATAGCATGAAAATTTCAATTATTAAATCATGATATATTTGATTTGTCACACTAGCTTCAGCTTCACTATAATATATTCCATTGCCACATACAGTATATACCTATATATTTATTTTTAAAAATTTAATTTATATCACGTTATTTTATTTAAATAGATTCAAAATCCACCTACTTGTCAAACTATGAATACTGAAATTACTTCAATCGATGATTCTAAACAAAGAAGAATTACCTGTCGTTTAATTATTTTTATCATCTGTGATGTTCAACCCTTATGCATTTTAAAATGTATACTATTTAAGGAGTTAATGTACGAATGTGTACCGGGATATGCTATTCCATGCGACAAAACTGTGAAAAATATTATTTGTGGCACATATAATTGGTCTCATACACAAATGATAGAATTAATTAAAAATACTACACAAACTATTAACCTTACTATAGATCTTTGGACGGCCAAAAGTAAACATGGATATCTTGGCATTACAGCAACTTGGCTTGATTCAAAATTTAAATTTAGAGAAGCACTTTTATCTTGCCATTATCTTTCATATCCGTATATAAGTGAAGTTATCAAAGATGAGTTAAAAAAAGTTATTCAGGATTAGAATCTAGATAGTAAATTATTTACTATTGTTACAGATAATGGCGCCAATATGATCAAAGCTTGTCGTTTATTAGGAGAAGAGTTTGAATCAATAAACCGTTTACCTTGTGCTGCATATACACTTTAGCTTTCGGTTCAAGCTGGAATTAAACAAGTTGAAATAATTTATAAACGACTTAAAAATTTACAAACTTACTTCCGTAGTCCCAAACATGCTCAACAACTTTGTGATGCACAAAAAACAATTATGCAACAAAATCAAGATGATGATATTAATCAATGGGAACTAGTAGATATTTTAACCGACTGCAAGATTCGTTGGAATAGTACATATTATGCATGGAAAAGATTAATAAAATTAGATGACACTATTAGAAGTCTTGTTGCAACTCTTTGTTTATCACAAATTGCTCAAGTTTGGAAGGAAGGTGAACATCTTAATAAATTACGCCTTAATGCTGAAGAATTTAAGTAATTTCTTTTTATATTTAATGCAAAATAATATGTAATATAATTGGATATCATTTTAAATATAGTCATCCTCTTATATAGTCACCTTCTATATAATTATGCCATAAAACCTTCTTTATAATCATGCCAAAATTTGTAACACTCTACTAATAAATTTATGAAAAAATATCTTTTTATAAGCATATCATAGCAAAAACCTTTATATACTATATAGCGCGGACCATGATACGCCCGTGCAAAGTACCCTCTATTAAAAAATTTTATGGTGGAATGTAAAATACCCGAGGATATATTCTATATAAAAAAGTTTTTCATATGAAAAATTGCTTAGTATAGTACCCCAGGTATTATCTAAATTTTGTCTGTAGATTGTATTATACCCGGGATACTGTGGTCCGCGCTGTATGGTAATTACAAATTTGTATGATACGGACTGCATGATTATAGAGAAGGATGACTTTATATTTATATTTTTATGTATATTTTAGGTAAGGCCAGCAAAGTTAATTTTCGTTTTGCATAACCCGCTGATCCATTTTTTTCAATTTTTCAAATTATTATTGTGATTACATTATTATTTTTTTTTAAAGTCCCAATTGTGCCAGTTATTATATTATTTTTTTTTATAAACTTTTCTGGTATTACTTGAAGATCTAATATTCCGAAATTCTCTGATAGGATCGATAGAGAAAATATCTCACCGCTGACTCAATTTCCTAATTTACATGCAATGCAAAATGAAAAATTAACTTGTATAGCCTTAGATATGAATATGGGTCTATTAATTTACAATGCATAAAAAAATCTAGCCAACCGACCCAATTTTCAGATTTCATATTATGCAAAATGAAAAATTAATTTTTATTAATATATGTATTAATATATACAGTAATTTATTTTTTTTATCAATTTTTTATTTTTTAAGTTTTATCAATGATATGCTAGATATTCTAGCACCATGTGAAGTAATTACTCGACATATTTCTAGTGCGATATATCCAACTATCAATTTAATATATCCTTATATGCGTTTATTAAAACAAAATTTTGCCCCAACTGGCAATAATACAATAGATGACTATATAGATTCAGTATATGGACCAGCTTTATCTGAGAATATAGATAAAACTGATGAAACTGATAAAGCTGATAGTAGTACTGATAGTAATATTGAAGATTCAGAATATACTCACCAAACAATTAATAAAAGCAAAAGCCAAAGTTATAGTCGCGGTCATAGTCATAAATGTGGATGTGAGCGTGGTCATGGTCGTGGTTGTAGACGTGATCACGGGCGCAAGAATGGAAACAGGCATAGGAATAATCGTAAACATAGTAAACATAGTTATGAATCCTATGGTGAGCATAGTCGTGACTGTGACGAAATAGATTTAAGTGGACTTCTAGACAAAGTTAAAGCTACAATTTATCTTTCCCTTGATGAGTTATGGGATATTCCAGAAGAAACAGCTCTTTTGGCACCGATTTTAGATCCTCGTCTTAAAGGCCTTCGATTTGTTGATCAAACTGAACGTATCAATATTCAAGAAAAGCTTAAAACCAAATATCAAAAACTAAAAGATAATCAAGATAATATTTTATCAACAACACAAGATATAAATGATGATGCAAATGTTGTTACTATGTTTGATAATATGTGGGCTCCAACTCAAGAAATAATTCAGGCTGAAGAAAATGAAGTTTCTCACTATATATATCTTCCAGAAGCAAAACCAACCGATGATCCACTAGTTTGGTAAAATGATTATAAAAATACTTTTCCGATTTTATCATTATTAGCACGTGATTATCTTGGTGTCTCTGCAACATCAGTTCCAAGTGAAAGATTGTTTTCTGATGCTAATGCTCACATTTCAGCTCGTTGAACTAGATTACGTTCAGATTTGATAAACCATATGCTTTTTTTAAAAAGAAATAGAGAACATGTTGATGATATTTTTCCACCTCTAGTTAATTAAAAATATAATCAGCTGATTTGAGAATAGGCAAAATTACCTTTTCGACATTTTATTAATACTTCAATATAGATTTAGGCACTTATTTTTTATAGATTTATCACTGTTATTATATTATCACTAAGTAATTTTTAGATCTATACACATATATGAAAATTTCTAATTGAATGTTAAAATTAGTACCAGTACGATCACATGAAATGTGAGAGGGACAACTTTTTTTGTGGCATATATTTTTTTCTATCCTATTTTAGAAAGTATTATGGTTAGTTTTATATACTTCACGTGACTTTTACTTTACAAATTTATTATAATAACCTAGCTTTAGACGGTTCTTGTTTTATGATAGTGTTACTATTGTTTGGGAGAGCATATAGAACTATCGGCACAATTTAACTCCAATAGTTAACTTATATGTTCTTTGTATAGAACTCAAGGTATTTTACTAA